TATGTGTGCTTGCTAGAGAGAGAGGCAGAGACAGTGAGAGGGAAAGTGAGAAACTACCCCACAGGAGGGATGGCCATGCCACAATACCTTCTCCTCTACTCTCCTCCTGGGAGCTTGGGCATGCACGTACATGCGCTTGACATGATTTTCAAGTCACTGGGTCTGGAACTTGAACTGGGTTGGCCATATGAGAGTCCACCAATAAAACCACTGTGCCATCTGCTGACTCCCATGTGTGCGTGTGCTCGCTGGAGAGAGAGAGACAGACAGAGAGACAGAAAGCGAGAAATCCCCCCTCCAACAGATGGCCACGCTGCAATCCCTTCTCTTCCATTCTCCTTTTGGGATTTTGGGCACACACACACACCCACCAGCATGTTGTTTAAGCCGCCAGGTCCGAGACTGGACCCATGGTCGGTCACATGGGAGTCCAGTGACGTAACCATTATACCATCCGCTGGTCCCCCCAAAAGTGTTTATCAAAGTTAATATAAAGACAGCCAAGAGCAGCCGAGACCACTCCCAGGATGGCCTGGGTTCAGGCTGCCTTATCCCCTCCCAGCCCTGTAGCACATACCCCATGTTCTCAGCCCAGCCTTGCACCCCCGAGAGAACAGATAAGACACGACTGCCCTCAAGGGAGAAATCACATTTTACTTGAATTATTATTTGAACACAGCAATTACATCTATATTCTTGACAAGCAAATCACACAGTATCTCATGCATAGAAATTAAGCTGGATGGCTCTTTCTCTTCCCTTCACCCCCACCCCATCTCTCCCCCACCAAAATGTGGAGAAAGCCCAGTTTTAAAGGCAAAGTAGGTCTTTGTCACGTCACAAAGTGGAACATCTCCTCGAAGCCATAACTTCACAAAGGAATTAAACTGCACAGGCTGGCCCCTCAGCCCGACCCTCCGTTTCATTATGTACAAAAGCGAATGAGCTCCTGAAAACTTGATTAATTACATTTCACAAGACGTATGCGAGGAGACCAGGATCTGGCCCCAAATGAAGCAAAAGGGCCCCTTCACTTGTGTTGGGTTTTTATGTACTCGGAGTGCTAGAAGCAGGACCAGCCTGAAGCTCCTTCAACATGCTGGAGAGTCGCAGTGGTTGACTGGTCACTATCTCCAGACAGGCCCATTAGAGGCCAGGGGGCGAAGAAGCCAGCTTCGGGCTATCATGCAAGCAAGGCGCGTCTGTAGGTGCGTGGGTGTCATGCACCTGGACTCTGATGCCGCCTGAGAGTCAGACACGCATCAGCTCCAGATAAGGAAGAGGAAGGCAAAAGGCTGCCATGGTCCTCTTTCCAGATTCTTCTCACCCAGCCCAGGGAAGGAAAAGGTCCTAGGACATGGGAATCCATTGCTCGGCCCCCAGGGAGCAGAGCTGTCTGCTTCCTTGGATTCTTTGTGGAAGACAGATCCCTGGAGTGTTGCTAAGAATCAGGAAAACCTTCTCTTCTCCCTTATCGTTGCCCCAGGTCTCAAGCAACCCTTTAAAGAGCCAAGCTCATGTTGAAGGCCAGGTGGGGGTTACAGGGTATTGCCTTTGCCAGGGTTCTTCCTGAGAGGGACCTTGGTACCCTTTGCCCTGACCCCAGAGGAAGCCTTCTTCTGCTTGGCATCCAGGTTCTTCATGTACTTCTGAACCCACTGCTGCTCGGGGTCACCACAGAACTTCTGGCCCTTCCTGGTGGTGAAGCTGTGGAGAGGAATGACAGGAGCTCCCTGAGGCTGGGCAGGAATCTGGGGCCACTTCACTTTACACAGTGGGCGTGGGGATGGAGGTGGAAGCCCAGAGCTTGCCAGGCCTCCTAGCCAGTGACTGTCTGCTACCTATGTGTCTATGTCTCTGTTTCTGCATTAGGAGGGAGAATGGAGGAGTGGGTGGGTGAGTCAGTGGGTGCAAAGCTCATTCAGTAACCTCCCGGCAGGGGAGACCAGCCTTGCCTTTAGATGACACCAGACCTGAAGGGAAGGATAATCTCCACCACAGAGAGGGGAGAAGACAATAGAAAATGCCAGGAACCCTCCTCCTGGAACAAAGGCAGATGTGCACCACAGTGTTGCCGACAGGGTGCCGAAAGTGAAGGGGAGACTGAGATGTCCCCTTCCAATCAGCTCTGAACTTGGGGAAGCTAGGCTAAGTTGGGTGCCAGTTGGAGAAAATTAATAATAATACTAATGGCACATTTCTGCTAGATGCCCCCGTTACAATGTGACTTCACGCTCACTACCTTCCACAAGTGACAGCTAGGAAGTAATCCCGAACCCAGAGCCCTCACTACCACCGTGACCTAGCGCAAGCCAGCTTTCTGAGCCTCGGTCCCCATCTGTAAAATGGGGATAATCCATAGAATCGTTGGGAGGATTAGTTAAGATAACGCCGCATGCCCACGAACAGTGTCTAGTACAAGGGCTCTTCAAAAAACGTTATGGAATTTGCACAATATGAGAAAACTATGCAGGGATTTCAAAATTTTTTCACCAAAATAAACTCATACATTAATTCCATTGTTGCCGACAGGGTGCCGAAAGTGAAGGGGAGACTGAGATGTCCCCTTCCAATCAGCTCTGAACTTGGGGAAGCTAGGCTAAGTTGGGTGCCAGTTGGAGAAAATTAATAATAATACTAATGGCACATTTCTGCTAGATGCCCCCGTTACAATGTGACTTCACGCTCACTACCTTCCACAAGTGACAGCTAGGAAGTAATCCCGAACCCAGAGCCCTCACTACCACCGTGACCTAGCGCAAGCCAGCTTTCTGAGCCTCGGTCCCCATCTGTAAAATGGGGATAATCCATAGAATCGTTGGGAGGATTAGTTAAGATAACGCCGCATGCCCACGAACAGTGTCTAGTACAAGGGCTCTTCAAAAAACGTTATGGAATTTGCACAATATGAGAAAACTATGCAGGGATTTCAAAATTTTTTCACCAAAATAAACTCATACATTAATTCCATTTTTTTCATGAACTTTTTGAAGTCTCCTCATATATATTTGGTGCTCAATAGATGGTTGTTGAATCTGAGTCCTCCTCCTGCGTTTATGTGGGAGGAAGCTGCGGCTCAGAAATGGAGGCAATCTCCCCGAGGGTGCATGGAGCTGCAGCCCGCTGACTTTATTCCACAGGGACTCTGTTCTCCTGCTGATCCCCTGCTAGATGCCAGAGAGAAGTACTTACATGACCCCTGCCTGAGGGCAGACGCTCCTGTTGGACAGCTGGTAGCTTACCACTCGGTTCTCAGGAAACTTCTTGGAGATAAAGTTCAAGCAGCAGGAAGAGGGGATGATCACAGAGCCTAAAAGATGGAGTCCTTTCCAGCATCCTTTCCAGTCAGCCCTAGGCTCTGAGTCAGCCCCAGTGCCCATCCCTGCATCAAACCCTCCAGCTCCCTCCCTGGGCTGCCCCCTCAGTGCTCCCTTCCAGCCCCAGGCTGGCCAGCCCTCCACCCTCTGCTGTGCCAGCCCAGCCATGCCTGGAGAACGGTGTCTTGACCTGAGCCAGGTTGGAGGTCTTACCTGTGAGGGCAAGGTAGTGAGCACAGAGGGCCAGGAGCAATAGGCTGGCTGCGATGGTGGTGGGGCCTGCCATGTCCTGAACAGCAGAGGTGGCAGATCAGAGCGCAGAGCTGGGGTATGGAGGAGAGGACCTGGTATGAGGGGCCTGGTTCCTTCAGAGCTCCCAACTTCCCTCCCTCCACTCTTTATAGGCAGCTAGGGGAAATATGCACGGATATACCACCCCCCCACACACACCCCTCTTCAGGCTTCCTCGAAAATCTTGAGGCCACAAAAGTCTGAAAGGGGAAGTCATTGCTTAGTTGTTGCCCAGCTGAGTCAGAGGTTATTTTGGACTTAATTAGAAAGAGCAGGGGAAGGAAGCATTGCTCTGGCCAGGCCAAGTGTGGTGCGGGATCGGAAAGCAGATAGGGATCCTGGGTATGCACTCAGTCCCTGTGGGATCCTGGATAAGTCACTCACTCCTCTGAGCCTCCATTTCTTCAGCTGAAAATAGATAGAGTCATCCCTTCCTTCCATTCATTCATTCATTCATTCACCAAACTCCTACTAGACATGTATGAAGCACCAGGCCCTGGGAAGTGCTATCTCCCTGGCAGGGAGATAGAAAGGAATCAAGTGTGCATAGTAAGCAATAACAGGTGCTGCCAGTGAGCACAGGGCAAAGCAGATGCTGTCAGTGTCCCTTCATGTTCACTTGGGTCCCTTTATCATGTTGATGCACACCAGCTCTTGGTGGCCTTGTGTTCTAAATAGCCAGTTACCTGTGGCTACTCCCTAAAGCTGCCAGAGCCTGCAGGCTCTGAAAAAGTGGGAAGTACTTGGAAATGTATATCCTCCCAGGAAGTCTAATGGCTGTTGGAGAGACCTACATCTCCTGAGTTTCCGGCAGGACTGAATCAGATACCCTCCATGTGGCAGGACTTTGCTTGGTCCCTTTCCCGCTGGGTCCCTCCCGGAAGTATTTCCTAACAGACTACTTGCCCATGGATCTTCGAATCCTCATCTCAGGGTCTCCTTTGGGGGCCCAACCCAAGACAAGGAGTGTGCATGGGGGGAGTGGGGAACGTAGGAGAAATGGGCCTGTTCTGCTGGGTGGGATGTCGGGAACAGACTCAGAGTTGACGGCCATGCTGAGGGATTGAAGAATGGAAAGCAGTGGTCATTATGCTAGAGATTTGGAAATCAGAGCTCAGGTGTAAGGGACTGACGTGACCTTGCCAGACAGAATGTGACATGGCATCTACTTCACTCCACTCCCGATGTCTGGACCCTGGCAAGGACCCAATGTCTGGAGATCCCCTTCACTGCTACCTCCATGCCTAACCCCTTCAACCCGTCTCTCCATTCTGCTTCTCCAGCCTCCTTCTTTGGGCTTCCAAGGCACCAGGAACCCACCAGTGTGGAGGCCGCTGGCCACGCATCACCCAACTGATGACCTGTTGCAGCTCCCATTTGACCTGAAGGAGATCAAAGTCTCATTTGACCTCCAGGTGTTCATACCCAACAAGTCCTAAGCAGATTGCCTGTCTTGCGGTCAGTATTTGCAGAATGACTGTATGATGGACCAGCTCTGAAACAATGTCCTCTGGACTAGAGACTCTTCTGCAGTTTCTGGCCAGCACAACTGGGGCCAGTAAACAGGTCCCCTGGTGGGGATGAGACTGAAGCCAAGAAGACCAACAGCCCTGATCTCACTGCTCTAGTTTACAGAGTGAAAAATGCTGAAAGCCCAGCTCAGCATTTCATGAGCTCCCTACCTGCCCTTTTTTTACTTCTGTCCATCATCAGCCAACAGCAGAGCAATGCATGAGGATTAGATGAGAAAAACCACAGGGAAACCCTTACACACCAGAGGCTTTTCACTTTTACATGTGATGCCATCCCATTCTAACTTCTGCTCCTCAGCCTCTTAGCGGAGATAGCCCCATGTCTGTCTGGGTTTTGTGACTCAGTGGTTGCTGGAAACATGGTGCAGGAAATGGAGCAGGAAATGGAGGCGAGAGGATGGCAGGGAGAGGAAGAACTCAGAAGAGTGAACATAGGGTGAGCAGGGTGGGGACCACTGTCTCTGTTGTGACACAGCAGGGAGGGCAGAAGGTCATTGAGTAGGAGGGTTCACCCAGATTAGTAACACCCTTTCAGGGCTTTTCCAAAGCCTTTGAGAAAACACCTCATCTCGATGCTTTGTCCAGGAAAGTCGTCAAGACAGGCTTCCCAACCCTACTTGACAAGGGGAAACACTGAGCTCTTACAAGGGTAAGTGATCAGACACCATCACGAGGTTGCTTCACTTTCCATCCCACTTGAAGGAGTGGAACCCAACAGTCAGGGATGATTTCAAGTAAGAGTGGGAGAATGAGTTTTTAGGCAAGTAGAATAGGAAGGGGAGAAATAGATAAAAAGAAAAAGAGAAGGAGAAATGGGAAGACTGTAAGGGCACGGAGGGCAGACTTGGGGAGAAAGGTGGGCAGAGGGGTGAGGAGGGAGCTCAGAGCAGTGCAACGCACCCAGGATACTCCCGGCTCCAGCTCAGACCTTGCCCCTCTCTTGGCCTTGGTTTCTCCATCTCAAAGTGGGTTGTTGGTCAGGTCTGCACATCCCCAAGCATGGCGGCCACACCATCACAGGCAACACACAGGCATTTTCCATTTTATTTTAAATATGTTTTGCGATGGTCACCTTTCCTGATAAGGGATTTCATATTTATAGCAGTGAAATAAGATTTCTCTAAGGTAAAAGAAAAGAGTTGGTGGCCAGCCATAATGGCCAGCCAGTGTGGCTCCCCACGATGCTGAGACCACACGGGAAAACCCTGGATTTCCCAGGCATCCCAGACCTGGAGATCTTCCCATGCATGTTGGGTGGCTATATGTGCCTGTGGGATCCTGGCTGGCTGAGGCTGGGGGTAGATTGCAGGGAGGGAATTCTGTTGGGGGTGTCTCTCTCACTCTCTCAGAAGAAAGAAATGAGTAGACGTAAAGAAAAGAAGGGGCAGCAGGTAGCATGGCGGTGAAGGCAGCTGGATACCATGTGGCCAGGTATGTAATTCAAGTCTTGGACCCTGTGGCCTGAAAATCACACAATGTGTGTGTGTTTTTGTGTCCCAGATCCCAAGAGGAGAATGGAAGAGAAGGGACTGTGGTATTGTCATTCCTCCTGGGGTGTGATTTACCACTTTTCCTTTCTCTATCTCTCTCTCTCTCCATCTCTCTCTGGGGAATACCTGTGCCCTATAGCAAAAAATAAATAAATAAATAAAAAGGGAGGATGGGAGGAAGGAAGAAAGAAAGAAGGAAGGAAACTTAAAAAGAATTAGAGGAGGGGGCTGGCAGGTGGTGTAGTGGTTAAGGTACTGAACTTCCACATAGCTGACTATGGTTTGAGTCCTGGACCTGGTAGCTTGCTTTCTCACTCTCTCTCTAGTTAAATTAAAATAAATGAATAAATAAATAAAAATTAAATAAATAATTCTTTAAAATAAGAGAAAGAAAAAGAAAGGAAGAAAGGAAAACTGGGGCCAGCCAGATGTGTGGTGGTTAAGGTGGCTGAATCCCCCACTGACTATGTGGTTTGAGTCCCAGATCTAGCAGCTTGGAAAGCATGTTGGGTGTGTCTGCGTGCATGCCCTAAATCCCAAGAGGAGAATGGAGGAGAAGGGATTGTGCCATGGCCATCTCCCCGTGGGGTGCTTCTCCCTCTTTCTTTCTCTCCATCTCTCTCTGGGGAGTATCTGTGTCCTATAGCAAAAAAAAAAGAAAAAGAAAAAAGAAAGGGAGGATGGGAGGAAGGAAGGAAGAAAGAAAGAAGGGAAGAAACTTAAAATAATTAGAGGAGGGGGTTGGCAGATGGCATGGGGGTTAAGGTGCTGGACTCCCACATGGCTGACTGTGGTTCAAGTCCCAGACCTAGTGGCTTGCTTTGTCATTCTCTTTCTCTCTCTCTATCTCTCTCTCTTCAAATTGAATAACAATAATAAATAAAATAAAATAATTTTTTGAAAAAAAAAATAGAATTAGAGGAAGAAAAAAGAGAAGAAAGAAGCTGAGGAGGCTTTCAAAATATTTGTTCAGATTGTGGGGCCTTAATGGTATAATTCAAGCCATACCCAGTCTCAAAGACCTTCCATGCTTCTCTTAAGTGACCCAACTTTATCTGACAGTCTGATTTATCAGATGGGAACCTGGTAGAGCCCAGGCAGGTGGGGAGCAATGGGTTTTCCCCAACATCTCCCCTAGAGAACAGGGAGGCCTCCTGGCAAGCAAGCAGAGGAGGAAGCTTCCTTCAGGGGAGCCCAAGCAGGGTTCTTAGGGAACTGAACTTCAGGGCCCCTTCTCTCTCTTTTGTGATTCCCTGATGACTTGGGCAGACCCCAGGACCCTCTCACTCTCTGTCCCTTCTTATATGAAAGCCTACTCTACAGAAAGGCAATAAAAGACATTCGCTCTTCACATTAGTGGCTAATAATAGTTCAAAGTAAGAGGTTTCTTTTATTCTATGACTTTGCAAATGAGGAAGTGGGAGTCATTTTATCACTGTTGAAGAAAAGAGTTGGAAGTGTGGGAAGGGGGAAGGAGAGAAGACCCCCAAGGTGCTGAATTGGAAGCAGAGGTGTCCATACAGATAAAGGGTCTCCAAAAAGTTCATGAAAAACATACACTATGAAAAAAGCTTGCATAGATTTCAAAATTCTTTGAACCAAAATAAACCACTATTTTTTTAATTAGAAAAAATTTTTAAGAACAATTTTTGCTCTAGAGTGCCTGCGCTTGTCAGAGAGACAGAAAGACAGAATGTCTCACTGGGGAGTATCTGTGCCATTGGGGTGGCTGTGCCACAATCCCTTCTCCTCCATTCTCCCCTTGGGGATTTTGGGTATGCAAGTACATGTGCTCACCATGTTTCAAGTCGCTGGATCCAGGGCTTGAATTGCAGTCGACTACCTGAGAGTTCAGCAATGTAACCATTACACCATCTGCTGGTCCCATAAACTAGTATTTTAATTCCATTTCCCATAGACATTTTGAAGTCCTCTCATGTACTATAGTTATCTGTATGATTTTGCTTCCTAGCTCTGCAGGGAAGGCCTAGAAACAGTGATACAACAGTAAAAATGACCTTTCCTGGAGCAGAAAGATTAGAGACTAGACCATCTTTTTGTGCCTTTAAGTAAGAAAGTGCTTGGGACCAGCAAATGATGTAATGGTTACGTCACTGGACTTCCACATAGTTGACCACGGTTCAAGTCCTGGGCCTGGAGGCTTAAAATTCACACAGGGCACATGTGCATGCATACCCAAAATCCTGAGAGGAGAATGGAGAAGGGATTCTGGTGTGGCCATCCTCTCTGGGGGGTGGTTTCTCTTTTTTTTTTTTTACTTCTTTTTTTTTTTTTTTTTTTTGGGGTTTTTGCAATAGGGCACGGCGGCTTTTTGAGAGGTTTTTGCAATAGGGCACGTGCGCTTGCCAGACAGAGAGAGACAGAGAGACAGAAAGTGAGAAATCACCTCCCAGGGGGTGACCACGCCGCAATCCCTTCTCTTCCATTCTCCTCTCGGGATCTTGGGCACACACGCACACACACCCGGCGTGAGGTTAAGCCACCTGGTCCGGGACTCGAACCACGGTCGACTACGTGGGAGTCCAGTGACATAGCCATTACGCTAACTGCTGGTCCCCTGGGGGCTGGTTTCTCTTTATGTCCTATAGCAAAAACCTCTCTAGAAAAAAATTATAAAGTGCTCACAGAATCATATCTTATGTCTTTTCAGAACTTATCAGAAAAGACATAAGATCCAGCTCCCAAGAGTTCACACAGGCCAAATCTGGAACTAACAGTAACTAACTGTGATAGTGATGGAGTGGGCCAAATAGGAACCTGTAAAGTTATAAATAAATAAGTGTGTTGAGACTTGAATTATACCACCCCCCCAAAAAAAATAAAGGTATATCGGAGTGACCTATTTGGAGTCAGGGTCACTCTTGCAGAGATGATCAAGTTAAACTGAGATCATTAGAGGGGCCCTTAATCCAATATGACTGCTGCCCTTACAAAAAGGGGAAATTTGAACACAGAGAGGCACAGACAAGGAAAGATGATGTGAAGATATGAGGAGAAGACAATCTATAAACCAATGAGTTGCTCAGGACAGAACATTCCATCACAGCCCAAGAAGGGACCAACCCCGCCTGCACCTTGATCTCACCTGCCAGCTGCCAGGACTCTGAGACAGTAACTCTCTGTGGTTTTTGTTTTTTAATTTGCAATAGGACATGTGTGCTCACCAGGAGAGACAGAGAGAGAGAGAAAGTGAGAAAGCACCCCCGGGGGGATGGCCAGACCACAATCTCTTCTCCATTTTCTTCTCAGGATTTTGGGCATACACACACATGCACATGGCTTGAGTTTCAAGCTTCTGGGTCTGGGACTCAAACCACCGTCGGCCATGTGGGATTCAGCACATTAACTACTACGCCACCTGCTGGCCTCTTGAATGGATTTTAAGAAGGGAAAAAAATGACTTGGAAGATAAGACCAACAAGATTTGAGTAGTTGTTTTCTTTGCTTGTTCCTGAGTTTGGTGACAACTATTTTAAGATCCTTTTTAGGATAGATGAAATAGATATGTTTGGGGGGGTTAAAAAAATTTCCCAGGTCCTGTTATTATCTCCACTTTGCTGGTGAGGAAACTAAGGTTCAGAGAGCTAAATGACTTGCCCAAGACCCCTAAGTCATGGTGGATAGGACTAGGCCTTCATCTTCCTGGGAAACAAACTGTGCCCTTGCCCTGATGCCAGGCAGGTGTGCTCTGGTGGGTGGTGCCAATTCCACCATGGCAAGTTCACTTCCTGAAGTTGTTCTCAATTTTATCCCTTCCTTTCAACCCCCACTGTCACTGTTTGCTCAGCCTCCATAGGCTCCCTCCTGGATTCTTGTCCCAGCTTCCTAACCAGTAGGCAGAACCTCTGGGGCTTGAAGCAGGGGGAAATGGCAGGAGGGCACTAGAAGGATGGGTGGACACTGGGGTGGGGAGTTCAGAGGATTCAGGGGTGCAGTCTGGGGTGGCACTGCTACCTGTGGTACCCTCTCTTTGCCACCAGACACATATATACACACAAACACACACACACAGTCCAGAGTACTGGGCACATGGGGCAGTAGTCCCAGGATTCACTTACCCAGAGGGGCCAGTGATGGCCTCAGCACCAAGTACGAAAATGTTTTCCCCAGGCTTCTCAGTTCTGCAGTTGCAGGAAGAGTGGGAGGAGAAGAGGCGCCTCCCAGGGAAGGCAAGGAGCCTCCCGTGCATCTCACTTTGCTCAGCTTAGAAATTCAGGAACGCAGGGCTCTTTGTACTTTGGAGAAGTTGGCTTCATGTCAATAGGCAGACCTTGATGGGGGCACATGCAGGGAGTGGGGGCAGTTCCAGTTGGGGAGTGGAGTGAGCCCATTGTCAGAATGGACTTCTGCCCACATTCCCTGAGCCTGCTCGTGGGAGGGGTGTGGCCCCAGGCAGGGCAGGAGAGGGTATATAGATGGTAGCCATGAGCACCTTGCCCTTTGAGCTCTGGGTGGGAGGGCTTTCAAGAGCTCAACTGAAAAAGGAAAATGAGACAAGGATAATGGGTGAACCTGGGGCACTGCTAATCAGCTGGCCCAGCCTGGCACGGTGACCTGGAACAGCTGCAGACCAAGGGGTTGAGCGGGTTCTTTTGCTTGTCTCCGGGTCGCTGCTGCCTCCTCAATGTTGGAAGTCCTAAGAGAGCAGAAGCAGGGGTCAAGAGGAAAAGCTCAAGGGAGACAGAGGTCAGCTGGATAGAAGGAAGACACTCGTAGTGGGCTAAGCCATGCAGAGACAGAAATGACCGCCTTGCATAAGAGTAAGAGTCCTGCCAAAGGAAGTGTGCAAGTGCCTCTTGGCTTGTCTCCACAGGAAATTCGAGCTTAGCATTCTGGAATCTAGTGAAGGACCTATTTCAGATTTGATGCCATAAAGCCCACAGGGAAAATAAATGCATAAATGAATAATGTCAATAGAACATGGTAAGTCTAGAGAGCAGAGAGCTTAAGAGCATGAGCTTTGGAGAAAAGCAGAGCTTACGAGCATGAGCTTGGGAGGTAAGCAGGCCGGGGTTTGGATGCTGACTCTGCCTGGGCTTGGTTGTCTGGGAAGTGAAGGTGAAAGCCTTTCTTTCCCAGGGGTGTTGAGAAGAGCCGGAGGACTACCATACATCCTGTTCCTGTAATTGCACCTGGCCTTCAGGAAACATTACTTAGAGGCAGTTGTTACTATTATCAGGTACATTCCAAGTACAAAGGGCTCTCTGTGGGGATTAGGATCTTCAAAGAGGGATGGGTAGGAATGCCCTGGTAGAAAAGGGGTCAGGGCATTCCAGGACAAGAAGGGCACGGGTGGGAGGGAAAAAGTGGGATGTGGCTGTGGTGTGGGATCCGGAGGAGGAGAGGTTGGGAATGGGGCAGAGATTTCCTTCACACCAAATGGAGCTAGCATGCCATTCCTTAAACCTCTTTCAGGAAGGCACCATCGTCTCCCTACCCCACACCTAATCAGGCCCCTCGTTTTATTAATTCTGTTTAACAACTCTGGACCCATCTATTTCTTCTCAGCCCTATTCTATACCCTCCCAGCTTGCCTCCCTGCAATCTATTCTGCACACAGTTACAAGAAATCTCCTTCTGGAGCAGTAGATGATGGGGAGGTTAAGGCAGCTGGATCCCACATGGCCAGCTGCATGATTCGAGTCCCAACCCTGATGGCTTGAAAAACATGCTGGGTGCATTTTTTTCCTTTCTCAAGAGGAGAATGAAGGAAAAGGGATTGAAGAATGGTAATCCTCTCGGGGAGGTGATTTCTCACTTTCCATCTCTCTCTCCCCCCATTTCTCTCCAGCAAGCACACGTGCCCTATAGCGAACTACAACAAATCCTACTAAAATGCAAACCAGCCCTGATCCCTCCCCTGCCTACATTTTTTTTTTTTTTTTGCTAGTGGCTCATCACCAACCAAACTTCATTCCTTCTCATAACCTTCAGAGCTGTTACCATTTCAGCATACTACCTGTTCTATTAAATACTTAATGGTTTTGATCCAAAAATAGTCACAAAATCCCAGGTTTAGTCTACTAGCTGTGTTTCTTCCTAATATACATTAACATAAACCCACAGTATTAAAGTATACCAGGTATTCGAGTGTGTGTGTATGCATGCACATGTGTGCACATGTGATGTCTATAGTGTGTGTATGCGTTCACACATGTGCATGTGATTTCTATAGTGTGTGTATGTGGGCACGCACATGCACATGTGATGTCTATAGTGTGTGTATGCATGCACATACGTGCACATGTGATGTCTATAGCAGAAACTATCCATAGTCTGCCCATATCAGCTGTCCTTGCCAATTCAGGACATACTGGCCTGACCTCCAACTGCCACCTCCTGGCTGTCTCCCACTTGTTCCCACCCTACCAGGCTAATCTGGTAAGGAGGGAGCACAGGCGCTTTGTGTAGGGGAGGCTAATGATTACTAACAAATGACTTGGCAGGTCTTGATTGACAGATAGGTGCAGACGGGTAAGGTGGGGCCACTGATGTGCCGGGAAGTGTCTAACACCTGGCTCTGCAGAAAGAGCTCTGGTTGCTAATGTTTGCAGATTCCCATGATGCAAATGCTCCCACCTCTGCAGATTCAAGCTGCCAATAGATGCTCCTGAAGTGGATTTGGGACGAGATAGCTCTCTCTCCCAGGTCAGCCTGAGCTGGCTTTGGCATGCCACTGGGTGGGACTCAGTATAAGGCCTTAGGGGTTCATGGACTTTGAGTTCCGGAGCCATGTGAAGGGAAAAGAGTGGTGTTAAGGGGCCAGCAGGTGGCATGGTGGTTAAGGCTCTGGACTCCCACATGGCCAACTGTGGTTTGAGTCCCAGACCCAGGGGACCCAGGGCATTGAAAATCATGCCAGACACGTGTGTGTGAGTGTGCCCAAAATCCCTAGAGGAGAATGGAGAAGAAGGCATGGCCGTCTCACTTGCAGTGTGATTTCTCACTTTCCCTCTCACTATCTCTCTGGTGGGTGCACATGCCCTATGACAAAACCAAAAAAAAAGAAAAAAGAATGGTGTTGAGAGGGAGATTGGGAAACATTATTTACTACCCTAAGGCTCCCTACAAGCAGAAGGGTGAGCATGTGAAAAAGTCTTCCTGATCGTCTGCAGCTGGGAAGGCCCAGCCCTAACAAGGCAAAATGTTCCAGCACGGAAGGGGACGAGAAGCTCTCACCATTCCATTTTCCTGTCGTGCTCTGAATCTAAGTCTTGTTGTTCTTGTAGAAAGAGCTCCTGCTTGGAGGCCAAGGATCTGCTGATCCCCAAAGTCTGGTGGCCAAGGTTCTCAGTGAAAGGAGAAGTGAAAGAATATCCTTCCTGAAGGACCCACGCAGCTGGATTTCCTCCCTAGGACAGAAGAACCTGAGCTGTAGCCAACTCCCAGAGGCCCAGTCCTTCTCTGGACTATGCAGACGTTGAGAGTCTGGGTCTGGAGGCAGAGGCTCTGTATCCATTTGCTTCATCCCAGAATTTATGGAGTTGGCAGGAATAGCCAGGAATCTTGTGCTTCCAGAGTCCCATGAGACAGTGTGTGGTGGGAAGGTCATGCAGTGCCTGACTGGCTGGAGCTGGAACCAGAGCCCTGACTCTCCCTGCTAGGTGGGTGTGAATTTTTACTTCAGTTTCCCCCTACCCCCACCTTATCGAACCACTGGAAGGCTCAATAAGAATCCCAAAAGCCTATGGGGTTTGGGACCAGCAGTTAGAGTAATGGCTATGTCGCTGGACTCCCACGTAGTCGACCGCAGTTCGCGTCCCGGACCCAGCGGCTTAAACTCACACCGGGTGTGTGTGCGTGCATGCCCAAGATCCCGAGAGGAGAATGGAGGAGAAGGGATTGCAGCGTGGCCATCCCCCCTGGGGGTTGATTTCCTGCTTTCTGTCTCTATGTCTCTCTCTGTCTGTCTGGCGAGCACACGCGCCCTATAGCAAAAACCTCTCAAAAAAAAAAAAAACAAAAAACAAAAAAACAAGCCTATGGGGTTTTACTTCTTTTAAAAATAATAATAAAGTTTATTATGAGAGAGAAAAAGGAGTACTCTCAACAGGGTCTTACACTATGACCCTCCACAGCCTTCCCAGTGAGCTAGCCAGTATGTACAGTTCGACTAGGGAATAGAACCCATGATCTCACATATGAATTCAGTATTGCCAGAGCAGCATGTTACCACTGCACCACCCAGCCAGCTCCCCCAAAGTACTTTGCAAACTGCAAAGTTTTGCAAAACATTGTGGAGAAATGAGTGATGGAATGAGAGTGATGCCCCATCTCAAGACCCCTGGAACCAGCTCTCCTTCAGCAGCTTAGCAGTTTAGACCACAGAGAAAGTCACAGGGTGAGCTGGATGGTAAGGTTGGGAGCCTGGGAAAAGTGGAGCCCTAACAGAGCACTTGGAGGAGGTGGGAAGCACCAGGACAGACAATGGTTCTAAGAGGGGGACAGGAAGAGTCTCAGTGCCAACTTTCCTATTGTGCCCTGAAAGCTTAGAACCTCACCAGGGAGACAAGACACATGAGAAAGCCCATTTGGCTCATCCTCTTATCCAGGATGTCTGAGAGATGTCTCGTGATTCCTGCCTCCTCTGCCCCTGTGGACAACAACCCTAAAGGCTGGCTCCTTGCCAGGAACCATCTCCTGATGGACAGAATCTCTCTGAATATGATGACTCTGATAGAAGAAGCTATCCGGACCATATGAGCAGTTCTGACTTGCAGATTTTGAGAGATATGGGAAGATACTGGACCGAGAGTTGGTAGACCTGGATTCTGATTCCAACACTGTTACTTACTAGCTGAGTGGGCAAGTCACCAACTCTCTCTTGCCCTCAGTTTTCCCATCTGTAAGGAGCACAAATGTTGGCCCACACCCTGAGTGTCATTCTGGCATGGTTGAGAGCATCTGAGTAAGTAGGTGTGAGATGGGAACTCCCTGCAGATGTGAAGGCACACGAGTGCTGTTTGACTGGAACAAAGACCTGGGTCTACAGGACAGAATGAAGGATGTGATACCTGCCAAACACGTGAGTCAGTATGAAAGATGATCCTTTCTCTCTTCACTTGTTTAAAACATACATGGCATGGGCCAGATGGTGGCACAGTGGTACCACAATTGAACCTACACAGGAAGGTCCTGGATTCACATCCTGGGACCTCCCTGAGCATGCCCAGCATGCACATAGGTCTCCGTGATCCTGTTGGCTAGACTGGGAGTGGGTCATGGT